CAGTATAGCGCGAGCTACAGCTCGCGCTATACTGAGACGCCGCAGCCGGAGCGGATCCCGACGTAGATGACGGGATCTGCCCAGCTGCGTGAGTGACAGCTGGCTCTGCCTATCTAGAGGCAGAGCCAGCTGTACCCGCCCCCTCCCCCGTCCGTTCCGCCAGTCAGCGCTGGCAGAACGGAGCGGGAGAGGGGAATCCAGCCCTCCCGCTGTCACGGCAGAGAGCCGTGACAGGATCGAGACGTGAGCGAACCTGGTATGTGTTCGCTCACCTCCCGATGTACTGAGCCAAACTGTGACAGTCTCATTGTCACAGGTCGGCTAGAACTATGAGGTGAGTGGAAATCACTCATCTCATAGTTCTCCTTTAACTTGGGAAAAGGACATTGGTTATATCTTCCTTATGGAGTCTTGGTTGCAATGTTGTTCACGGAACTCTCTTGGATTACTTAATGCTTTATTAGTGGAAGTTAATTTTAAAGTGTTATCCCTGCCAGATTGGCTAGTCCAGAGTTCACATCGTTATATTTTAGGGGTTGTGGACAGCAAGGCTCTATCCCAGATAGCAAGGATAACTTGCTACAAACTTGTGTCGGGGTGAAATTGTAATTTTGTTAACTTGCTGCACATATTCCTGGCAAGTTGTAGACTTGCAGAACACTTGCAGCACAAGTTCTAGTTGACACTTTTTGAATTTGTAGCAAATTTGCTTGGCAAGTCTACAGCAAGATTCCTGCAGGTCTTAGCAAGAGCTCTGCAATCTCGCTGGTCTGGAGACTTGCAATGCAGACTTGCTGTAATTGTGCAACAACATTGTAAAGCTCGGCAAGTCTGCAATAGTTTAGCAAGTCATTTTCAAACATGCAGCTCAATTGCTTGCTATCTGGGTATGTTTCAAACTTGGTGGTTGCCCCTAGTTGCGCCCTTTTTGGAGCAAATTATTTGCAATAACCTGCAAAGTTTTGTGATCAGGGTTGCTCAACAATCCGATTCCTAAAATTTCTAAAAGGAAAGATAAACTGATAGCATTTCTATTCTTAGCAGCTAAGATCTCTATAGCTAGGGCCTGGAAAACCCCAACGGTATCCCTAGACCTTGTTGAATCCTAGGTCACTTGGATCATGACCTATGGAAAACTCTGCAGCATATTACAACTAAACAGGAAAACTTTCAAGCAGTTTGGGATACCTGGCTAGAGTATGTTGGTCTTTCCAGTACTCCAGAGGATCTTGCGTAGGGAGAGGGATCACACTGTCCGGAACTCTTTTCTTGTTCTGTTCCTTTTTCTCTTTCCTTTTTTTTTTTTCCTCCTCATGCTCTACATCTATTTTACAGTATTACCCTTGATGACTAATTGCCGCTAAAAGGCACTCTCTTGATTACTTTATCATACTAGGTCAATGATACAGTTTGTTTTTATATCTGTTATTTGATTGCTACCGACAAGTGTAATTTTTTTTTTTCTAGTAAGCAGTCACTGTGGTCAAGTCAACCTTTTTCCTTCTGTGTGTTTCATTGACATTCTTATCCTGTGTTATATGCGCTCTTTAGATATTCAACATTTTTGTTATTATTTGTATTTTTGTTTGGAGAATAACATTATTTGAAACGGCTCCAGATTCTGTCTGCTCCAGTTTTGATAAATTCCTCTCATTCTGTGAAATTAGTAATTTTTTATAAATACTATCAGTGCAAGCAATCTTTTAGGTCATAATAAACTAACGTCTACAAGATATCTGCTGCTGTTCAAAGCACCAACAATTGGAAAAAATTACCTATGTTGATCAAAACCCTAAACAATTAAAATGTGTAAGTCACTATTATCTATTCCTTTATGATTATACTAATAGGGCTCATTCACACGGGCCTAGACAGAACACAAGCACAGAAGTGTATGCGTAAAATCTGCATCTCTGCAGGCATTCAGTCCACATGCATTTTTACGCATACAAATTTTTCTAGCGTTATGCAATCTCTAAGCACCAGAAACCAGTGACATGCCATGCTTTCTGTGCTGGGCGCGGCATCCCCCAGCCTGCCGAAGCTCCGCCCTATCCCACTGAAGCCCTGCCCAAGCTCGGTAACCAAGCTGTGTGGGGAGGAGGAAGGGAGGAGTCTCCCTGTCCCTCACTTGCTCGTCACTGGTGAGGCATCAAGATCGATGTGCTCACTGTGTTTTTTTTTTTTATTGGACAGCTTGGACCAATGGTGCTTTGCCATTGGTCCAAGCCATCCACAGCGCTCACGCCTCTAACACAGAGTAGAGGCTGTGACAGCTCTTGCCTCACCATGTTAGGTTTCACAAGCAGTGGGGAAGCCCGCTGCTGTGTAACCTAACTACCTGTCAAAAGCCGAATGCAGCGCTGCCTGTAATTAACGGGCAGCACTCCGTCCATGGCAGGTTACACAGCGGGGAGGCTTTCCCTGCTGTGTAACCTGTAATAAGCTGATCTGAATGGAGAAAAAGCTGTCAGCTTCAGACTTGAAGCTGACACCTTTTTTCTTCATAATACTAGGTGAGGCTCTGCCTCACCTGCCTGCCCTGACCGCACATCCCTTCCAGAAACTTCACGTGAATATGCATGCATTAACATGTGCATGCAAGTAATAAATGCACTATTTGTAGCCACAGACGCAGCTCTGTTTCATTTTTTTTTGTGTGTGTGTGCATCTGTATGCAAAGCAAAAACACATCCCCCCACTGTGTGTATGGGGCAGTGTATTTGCATGTGCTGCATTCTGATGTGCACAGAAATCTGTATGCAACGTGTTTAATGCCCATGTGAATGAGGAGCTCTAATGTAAAGAAATCTTAACTGCATCCCATGTATGAGCAGGTTTACAGCTGCAGGAAGCTTCTTTCAGATTCAGAAACGTATCTAAACCTCTTCATGTAAAATCACACATTTATATGGAAGCAATTCATGTGGGGAATATGTTTCCATCGCTAGTTTCTTTAATTTTGAGGTTGTTTGGTGGTGCTTTAAACTGTTCCTCCTTGAGTATTTTATTTACAGAAACTGTTGCTTTTCTGCTATTGCACTGGGTATTGTTATGTGGTCACTTCACATCAGCCTTCTACAAACTGTTCAGGAGATTTGCTTTAAATTCAAATAGTGCTTAGTGTAAATCTTAAAGCAAATCTGTCACAAACTCGGCAAGATCACACTGAGCATATGATGAGAAAATACACATGCAGAACACCGCATTCCATACCATCAGCAGACCCAGAGTTATTGACCGATGAAACTATATTCAAGCCTTGACTTTTTGTTAAAATCAACCTAGGCCTCATGCCCTTTCACCACCTGAGCCTCCCCATTGGTCCTTCAGTATGATGGGTGTAAAGAGAGTCGGGGTTAAGTTTGACTTTTACATGTAAAGTTGAGATTTGCATTTGAAATTAACTTCCTGTATCTTGACCCACTGGTGGTTTAAACGGCTTGTTTTTATAACTTCTGCTTATGTGTTTCTATCATATGCACATTTTACCTTCTCAGGTTATTGACAGGTTTACGTAAAGGGTTTTTATGTATTGTAATTACAAACTCTTTTCCTCATATGACATACGAGCCTATCTTTTTATTTCAGAAAGTCATGTTCCTATTTACAGCAGTACATTATCCACATGCTCTAATGCATAAATGACTCGGTGCTGCTCCTCCACATTCTATTAAATAATGGCTCTCATTCCTTAGGAATTGATTCCTTGTTCGGGAAGATAAATTGTGACCGCTCTGTCCTGGATGAAATGTTGGAGGAGAAAAAGCTGTCAGCTTCAGACTTGAAGCTGACACCTTTTTTCTTCATAATACTAGGTGAGGCTCTGCCTCACCTGCCTGCCCTGACCGCACATCCCTTCCAGAAACTTCACGTGAATATGCATGCATTAACATGTGCATGCAAGTAATAAATGCACTATTTGTAGCCACAGACGCAGCTCTGTTTCATTTTTTTTTGTGTGTGTGTGCATCTGTATGCAAAGCAAAAACACATCCCCCCACTGTGTGTATGGGGCAGTGTATTTGCATGTGCTGCATTCTGATGTGCACAGAAATCTGTATGCAACGTGTTTAATGCCCATGTGAATGAGGAGCTCTAATGTAAAGAAATCTTAACTGCATCCCATGTATGAGCAGGTTTACAGCTGCAGGAAGCTTCTTTCAGATTCAGAAACGTATCTAAACCTCTTCATGTAAAATCACACATTTATATGGAAGCAATTCATGTGGGGAATATGTTTCCATCGCTAGTTTCTTTAATTTTGAGGTTGTTTGGTGGTGCTTTAAACTGTTCCTCCTTGAGTATTTTATTTACAGAAACTGTTGCTTTTCTGCTATTGCACTGGGTATTGTTATGTGGTCACTTCACATCAGCCTTCTACAAACTGTTCAGGAGATTTGCTTTAAATTCAAATAGTGCTTAGTGTAAATCTTAAAGCAAATCTGTCACAAACTCGGCAAGATCACACTGAGCATATGATGAGAAAATACACATGCAGAACACCGCATTCCATACCATCAGCAGACCCAGAGTTATTGACCGATGAAACTATATTCAAGCCTTGACTTTTTGTTAAAATCAACCTAGGCCTCATGCCCTTTCACCACCTGAGCCTCCCCATTGGTCCTTCAGTATGATGGGTGTAAAGAGAGTCGGGGTTAAGTTTGACTTTTACATGTAAAGTTGAGATTTGCATTTGAAATTAACTTCCTGTATCTTGACCCACTGGTGGTTTAAACGGCTTGTTTTTATAACTTCTGCTTATGTGTTTCTATCATATGCACATTTTACCTTCTCAGGTTATTGACAGGTTTACGTAAAGGGTTTTTATGTATTGTAATTACAAACTCTTTTCCTCATATGACATACGAGCCTATCTTTTTATTTCAGAAAGTCATGTTCCTATTTACAGCAGTACATTATCCACATGCTCTAATGCATAAATGACTCGGTGCTGCTCCTCCACATTCTATTAAATAATGGCTCTCATTCCTTAGGAATTGATTCCTTGTTCGGGAAGATAAATTGTGACCGCTCTGTCCTGGATGAAATGTTGGGCTCTTCATCCAGCATTCAGGAATCAAACATAATGCAGTACCTTGGCCTCATTGAGCAGAAAACAAATGAGTTGCTGGCTGTCCAGTCCTTCCTCGACTCCAAGGTAGGTGGAATAACTTCATTACTACACGTGGGAGCATAACTAACTGCAAGGCATTGTTAGAATGGATAATCCTGAATCAAGGGCAAATCGTGTTCCGCAAACTGAGCTCAGATTTATATATCCCCAAATGAGATGGTGTCGGGAGGAAGTGTGTAACCACAGAGCAAGAATGAAATCTTTTTTCAGTTTCAGGAGTAATATTTAAAAAAAAAGAATCACTCTCTTTTGTACCTTGCCAAGGGTAAAATAATGGCTTTCTTTTTATTCCCTTGAACCTGCTTAGTTTCAGTTAATGTATATACTTATATAGTCTTAACAGAATAAGAACACATACTGGTTAATCCAGTCTTAAAGTGAACATGGTGCTACGAGCAGCACATACTGAATTCCCCTATTACTCTTCATTTCCCAAAGGCAAATTCCCGATACTTCCTGGTTTTGGGAAGAATGTGAAATAGTTCCTTTGCCCCCCAATGACAGTGCTGGTGATTGGAGATTGGTCTTTCAGGTTTTCTGTGATGTCACATGGAGTTGGGGAAAGAGTCATCAGCTTTATGTGTGTTTTTTTACAGTGTGCACTGTTTAAAATTTTCACTTTAAAGCCCAAATTAACTTTAAGTTTACATCAGCTTAATCCTTTCTAGGTGTATGAAAACAGCTGTGCAAAGTCTTACAGTTTGTTTTATTTACAAGGCATTTATAGCCTGGGTACAAAACCCTGTCCCCTGTGGAAGCAGTGGTCTCTCTGCAGAGGTCCAACATGCCACATGCTGAGTCAGAGCTGGAGCTCTCCAATCAGCAGGGAGCATGAGCTTAGATGATTGCAGAGTTATAGGTCTGACTCAGCAGTAGGCATGTCAGACCTCTGCATAGAGACCACCTTCTCTATAGCATGCTGGCAGACAGGCTTTTCTACTCAGGCTGTGGGTGCTTTCTTTAAAAGACAAACTGTAAGACTTTGAACATCTTTTGTTTTGAGCACCAGGAATGCCTTTTGCTAATTTCAACTGAATATTTGATTAGGCTCAAGATTGACTCCACAAGTTGCATTTCCTTACCTTCTCTTTGCTCCTCCCCTACATCTTTAAGTTGTAGTTAGTGAAGTGAGGGAGCCCTTTGTGAGCTCCAGGTCATGATTTAGGGCTTAGACAGGGCTCTCCCTATCCCCATCCTACTGTGCCTAAGCAGACATTTGCCAAGCACCAGCATTGTCATATGATAGGAAGGGTAGCGAGTCAAATGCACCTCTTACCCAGCAATCCCAGGTACCTTTTCTTCTTCCTGATGAGATGAGATGAGCAGGGGGGAGGGGGGTATAGGTAAGGTTAGTATATGCAACTGGTTTGAGACGGCATTAGAATAAAGCAGTTGCTTGGTCAAAACACAGGTTCACTTTAAACAGTACAGACTATATAAACACATACTCCCAAAGCTCCCAGCTTCTTTTACCATTGCCAAAATTAGGATGTCAGTGAATGAAACACCTGAGCAATCCTGCAGGCTGAGAGCCTTCTCATTCATCAGAGAGATTTGGCAGATAAAGGATTGATGCTTTGTTCGAGGAATAATCTGGGCACAATGATTTAGCTGATTAGAGCCATCCATGATACAAGAGGTTGACATTAATGAACAATAAACTGCAGCTAAAACAAAGCTGTTTGGCAAAGTAATATAGAAAACCATTTGCAGAACTTCCTGAATTTTATTTACATTTACCCAGTGTTGTATTTGCATTTTCATGCTGTAACCTCATAAAACTGCATCCTGTTTTATAGAATATGGAAATGTCACAGTGACAAAGTACAGGAATGGTTTATTTTCTATATTTTATGTGTTCTATCATGCATCAATCACCAGTTTCCTATTTCTTATACAAATGATTGTTTCAATGGTCTAATGGATTCATTTAATTACATACATGAGTTAACCACTTCCATTTCTTCTGGGTATGGGGTTAATCAGCCACAAACCTTCCAAGTTTGAGAATTATCAAATGTAGTGACCAATTATCTGAAAATCTGATTTTCTTTTTACTAATACAATTCAAGCTCTATGTTATTACCATTTTTAAATACAGTAAATGTTTTTTATATGTTTATGTTTCTTTACTGCAGAACTTTGACAAGCCATACGATCCTCAACAAACAGCAAGAATCCTTCTGGGACAATTAATAGACCTGAACCAACCAGACTATGAAATACAGCCACCTACCACTGGGTAAGACAATGTAACTACTGCCTTTTGATGCATATAAACATTGTCAACACTTTAGGGGTATTTTAACGTTGGTCGGATATGTGATTTTTTTGCGAACATTCAGATTGGCCCTCACAATTGCCGGGTCAGGTCTGCACAGTTAATACATTCATTCCTATTGTAAAATGCAATGATGCATAACCCTGTATGTGCAAAATAAATGTGGTCGATGTCAGGTTCAAATTGGGTGAATGTTACAGTAAAGGTGGCCATACACTCTACAACCATCGCAAGACCTTAGTCTTGCGATGGTTGTACAGGGATTAAAAAAACGTACGATCTGCCTATCTTGGACAGGCAGATCGCACTCTCGATCATCGCAAGCCCGCCCCCCTGAGGGGCGGGCTTCCGATGACCGCAATGCTGAACGGGCAGTGTGCGCGTGCGCACACCGGCCCGTTCGGCATTTGTCTTCCGAGCACCGTTCTAACCAGCCGAGAATCGTACGATTCCCGGCTGGTTTTCGATCATGCTGGTTCGATGGAAGACGTGCGACCGTACAGTAGAAACGGTCGCACGTCTCCGTTCACACTGCTCGATTCTCGTACGATCGCGGGATTTCCCGCGATTCTCGTACGAGAATCGAGCAGTGTATGGGCACCTTTAGTATCTTTTAGAAGTACAGAGACCTGACACGTGCATTCGTTGGCAAATGCAGCTACATTTTAGGTACAATAAGACAAATTTTGAGTTACTATAGGAGACTCACCACCGGACACTGTGTTATGACACAATACAATTTATGAATCTTCCTCCCCGTTTATATTAATTAGCAATAAGACAAATGGCTCAATAGTGAGCATGCATTATATGCCTATACAAAGATAACCCCTAATATTTAACTAGGACTCTGCCAAGGAGTGTAGACATAAATGTCTTGATTTGGTAATAAAACTATTGCTTAGTTCTTTGACTTTCCAGGCATTCCAAATTCCACCTTTAGGAGAACCACTTATCAATAAATGTTTGAAAGTATTCATTCTGAAATATTTTATATCTGTGTGGTCTTCGTCCCCATTCACACCTAGGCGTATTGTAATATGCGCGTCTGTCGCGCGACCGTCACGCGGTTTTTTTACCGCGATTCGCGGTAAAAAAGTTGCGCGACCGTCGCGCGATTCCAAAGGCTACTTGGCTGTATCCCAATGGAAAACGCCCTACAAAACGGCCCAAAGTAGTCCCGGGACCTTTTCAGGCGTGGGCCGTTTTGTAGGGCGTTAGGGACGGGCGGAAATACGCCTAGGTGGGAACGAGGGCATTGACTACAATGCTATTTATTTTTTTGACTGTTTTGTAGCGCGTTCGTCGAGTGTACAAAACGGTCAGGTGTGAACGGGGCCTTACCCACAAAAGATTTACATTTCCACCTATTTTACCTTTTTGAAGTTTGTGTCTGACTCTTCACCATGAGTCTGGGCGTAAAAAATCATCTAAAATGTGAGCATTGCTGTCATGTTAACTAACTGACCGCACAGACTATACCAGGGGTAGGCAACATCGGCACTCCAGCTGTGGTCAAACTAAAAATTCCATCATGCCTTTGAACATAACTGTTGAGATGGGATCGAGTGAAATTAAATGTAATAGCATATGTTTCAGTAAATATATTTCCATTGACCATAAGAAAGTACTCAGATTAAAGGTGCCCATATACTGCAAATTTTGCAGTGTGTGTCACTGTTGGCACCCTTTCGGCCAGCATCCGATCAGCTGACCGAAGGAGCCAGCTGGAAAATCTTCATATGACCACCGGTTCTGTTTGGGTATTCTGACAGCGACCGGTGGCTGCTGTCAGAATACAATGCAAACAGTGGGGTTCCTTGTTGACATACTAATAGTGTTGATAGAGGAACCTGCTCTTTTTCTTTTTTTTTCGCTCGGCCCGCGGGTTGAATGAAAAAAATAGAGCAGTGTATGACCAGCCTAAGGTAAATTGAGTGAGCTCTCAGAAGTAGCAAGGTTGCAGAGTTTGCTGGATAGCATGAGTAGCTCAAGTATTGCATTCAGTTGCTGTGTGGAATTGTTCTTTAAAGAATTAAAGGCAGGGGAAGCAAATGTAAAAATATTTATGTCACCTGGTGTATATTTGACAACATGCTAAAACCATGCTTTGCGCATTTACTTGTAATGCGTATTTACATTAAATTCCCATCATCCTCTGCTATATGCTGAAATGACAGATTAGGCTCACAGTGGGAGTGCTTACAGTGGCTGCAGAAATAGAAATGAGACAAAGCGAAGGATTCGCAAAATGTATGCCTACAGTCACATTATATGCTCTCTGCTGCTGAGAAGCATGTGTTTAGACTGCAGATAAGAGGGCAGAGTGTTCAACCATACTGTATGTCAGTAAATCTAGCTGAAATTCAAAGCTGCCCATGCACTGTTCTAAATGCTCCAGAATCCTGCTGTCTGACTAAATTTGAGCAGTGTGTGGCCCCATTGGCACCCATCTATTGGACATAAGTCAACTCTTCAATCAATTTTTGTCAAAAGATCCAGTCCAAAAATTCCTAGGCGAATAGTGACTGCAGCCAATCAGGTATTCTGACACCCACCGCTATCAGAATACAATAGCCTGGCAGGAGGGCTAACGGGGTTGGGTGGGGGGTCTTGTGTGGTCCTCCGTCCATACTGTTTAGCATAGATGGGGGAATTGTTTTTTTTCTTATTCATCATAACTGAACAAGAAAAAACAGCGTATGTCCAGCTTTAGGACCAAAGATCTATACTGCAGGAAAGAGCCAAGCTCTGGCTGCAAAGAAATCGGAATTTTTACAGCCACTTGCTGTTTGAAAACAGTTTTCAAAGATGTCTTGGAAGAGTCCCATATGTTCTTTGAACTACAGAAATAATTTCTGTTCTAAAAGGTTGTTAGTGACCTCTAAACTGCTCAGATTACGAAAATCCCAGTAGACAACATTCTCCTGGTGCTTCTTTTTTGGGATTTCAATGTTCTTGCAGAAACAGAGAAATCATTGATTGTCTGCGTGTTTCCAACTTGTTTACACTTCAGCTGTAGACCGGGTTATGTATCTCTGATGGGCTGTCAGTTGGTCAATCTAAATATCAACTTTGAAAATGTATTTTATTACGTGCAATGGATATTATCAAAGCATGCAGTTAAAATGTCTTTTTTGACCGTTTTTTTTTTTACAAAGGAACTCTACTAAAATAACATAACAACACTACACTTTACAGAAATATTCTTTTTCTGACAATTGATGGTGTCCCAGGTTAGAGGCATTTAAAACCATATTTGTACATTGGTTTTATTTTGTGCTCTTACAGCACTTCTTCCTCAGCATGCAATAGCTGTACATGGCTGAACAAGGTAAAAAATAACTGCCATGATGCTTTTGTTGCTCTGCTTCTGCACATTTGTTTCTGCCAATCGATAAGATTTTGTGCAGAGAATGAATTCGGACACATAGGACCTAATTGTCTAAAAGCATCAGCAATGTTCCTGCTTGTGCACTTGCAGGGGTGTTTCTAGCCTCTTTGCTGCCTGAGACGGGGAAAAAAAAGGTAAACAGTAACAGTTCTGCCAGTGTGCAATACCATGTTCACGGCCAAAGCTGCCTCAATGCACTAGTAAGTTCTTCCTGCTTCAGTGATCACAGAGCAGATTAGGGAGATTTTTGCTCTGCTCCCGTGGAGTGCATTTTCTGTGGTCCATAGGAGCAGGAGAGCCTGGAAACTACGGTCATGGCCAGTTGATTCAGCCGGCCGCTTGTGTTGTAGTTATGCCCAGCTGCTGGGCGGGACTACAGACAGCCTCACGGAACATGAGCTGGCCGCTGGACTGCTGTACATTAATAAAGCGGGTCAGGGGCTCCAATCA